TCAAATGAATAAATTAATAAAATGAAATAAAATAAATGTTACAAACCATTTATTTTTTAATGTAATTAATGAATGCCCTGAGATAATTACTATTTAAAAAACTTTTATACCTTTCAAGGCACTCCATGATAAACAAAGCAAAATCAAAGGGATCAATAATAACTTGCTAGACTCATTCTTTAAAGCCCATGAGAAATAGCTGTGTCTTTAATTTTGGAATTTGTTTATGGCTAGTGTCACTCACCCTCTTCTTCCTCTTCTTCCCCTTCTCCAACATAGTCATCATCATCTTCTTCATCCTTGAAATTCAAATATTCAGTTTAAGAATAAATAAACCATGACACAGAGTTTTCACTGTTTGTTGTAATATATTCCAACAACAACAAAGAAACTACAGTTATTTTGTGTTCTGACAACCTGTCTGCCTTCTATAGGTTCTTTTTAAAATCTAACTAAATCTCTAATTTCTTTATGAAAATAAATTATGCTTTAGACCAGCACTATTCAAAAGAACTTTCTGTAACAATGGAAATGTTCTATATATGTGTCATGCAATACAGTAACCACCAGCCACACATGGCTACTGAGCATTTGAAATATGACCAGTGCAAACGAAAAACTGAATTTTTAATTTTTATTTAATTTGAATCAATTTAAATAGTCACATACACCTACCACCTACCATAATGAACAGAGCAACTTTTGACAGTGTTAAAAACAGGATCTTCTATTTTACAGACAAAGGTAGGAATGCACTGACTCCTAGTCCCAATATAGTTATGTTTTGAATAAGTCACTTTATCTCTCTGGACCTCAGTTTTTCAATCAATAAAATATTTATCTAGAAAAACCTGTAAGTTCCTCCTACATCTAAAAATGTATGCAACAAAATAGCAAATGTCAATAAAAATCACAATTAAAAAAATGATCTACAACTCTTGTGAAGTAAGTTATTCTGGATGGATAGCTATGATTTAAACCAACAGTGGGGAACCTTTTCATGTTGGAAGGCTGCATTAATTTCACTGTAATCAAATAAGGCTGCATTCAAGAAACTTCAATTAGATATCCTTAAAAATGTACATTACTTTGTAAAATCTAACTACTACTATATACTTAGTAATTTCAAAAAATGAAAACTATTTGTTAATTTTAAAGTTAACTAACCTTTAAATGACTTTGTTGTGTCTACTTTTTGTTGGAAAGCATTTGAATATTTGGTGCAACATGGAGGTCTGCAGTTTCAGTTGATCCTCTAGATGGGTATCAGTCATTTGTGACCTTAAGGGTGTCATGATATGAGTTAGGTAGGAGAATGTAGCTTTGCAGGAATAAGTGGTTGAAAAGCAAGAAAGCATTTTTTGGGCATGTTGCCAAAGGCATGGTATTCTACTACATTTTTCCATGTTTCAATTGGCTCTTTCTCAGCATCAAACAATGATTTTAAAATGTCATCTACTGAGAGCTCAATCAATTCCATCTGTAGTTCTTTAGGTGCCTTGGTGATACCACCTAGGTGAGGCAGAAATGCTAATTTGAGTTGTGACATCATGATTCTCAAAGTCAGTGAACCTTTCAGTGTATTCTCCAATTAACAGGTCTATTACACCTGTGTATTCTTCAAATGACTCACATATATCATCCTGATCATCAATGACCTTTGCTAACTGGGGAAAATGTTCATCAGAAATTTCCTTTTGAAGAAGTGTTTCGGAAAAAAGATAGCTTTTTCCAAAATGCTTGGATTTTTTGCCACATATCATATATAGACGTAGTTTTACCTTGCAAAGAAATATTCAAGTTGTTTTGATTTGACATATCACACAGAAATGCTGCATTCCTATAGAAATCTTCTTTCAATAATTCACATTGCTGATTCTGTTCTTCATAAAATTTAACTATCTGTTCTCACAGACCTAAAATTTTGGCTCATACCTGTCCCTGTGATAGCCAACACATTTTAGAATGGTATGGCAAAGCCACATTGAATACTTCATCATTCAACTTTAGCATGTTACAAAACTGAACATGCACGAATATAGTTAATACTCATAATGTGTTGCAAAGTGTCACTTAAAATAGTAGCTTTAACACAGAGATTTTGCTAGTGCAAGATACAATAAAAAGAAACAAGAGCATCTGGATCTGTCAATACTTTTTTATCTGTGCAATAAACCCTTCATGTTTTCCTGTCATGGAAGGTGCACCGTCTGCACACACACTCATTAAATTTACCAAATTTAGTCCAACTTCACATTTATCTTGAAAGTTGTTGAAGATACCTATTCCCCGAGTTCTGTTCACAAGAGTGCCCAAAGCGAGTAACTCTTCGTAGCAAAGAAAATCTTCTGTTATGCCCTGAATGTAGTATAAAACCTGTACCGAGTCAGTAGTATCAGTTGATTCATCCAAAGCAACTCAATAATATATATTTTCTTTTTGAAGTACTGCATGAAGTTGTTCTGTTAAGTTGAAGGCTAATTCATCCTGGTGATCAGCTATGGTTCTCCTTCAGAGAGGCAATTGTTTGTACTTTGAAATGTTATTGGGGTCTTAGCATCCTACAACTTTGACAATGCATTCTTTCACAATTTCTACATCACTGAATGGCTTCCCTTTTTCCCTGAGAATATAAGCTACTTTATAAATTGCTTCAGTGGCATTATTTCCGGGTCTTATTGCTGCTTGAAAGAATTGTCTTTGCTTTTGCTTTAAATTTCTCCAATACAACCTTTCACGCCTCTCCCTCTAATTTAAAATATTTATGATCCTTATGAGTGTTACAATGCTGATGAGCATTGAATTTCTTTAATGTTGACAACTGCAGTATCACAAAGCAAGCAAATCATCTTATATTTAACAGAAACAAGATAATATAGCAATCCCAATCCTCATTTTAAAAAATCTATTTTCTTCCTTCAGCATTCTCTTGGTCTTCTTTGACATGATGGGCTGTTAAGCAGACAGAATTAAAAAATACTCTCAAGCTGTGCAACTATCCACAAATTCCACTTCAAAAAGAAACACAGTGCACTGCACCATCCAAAAGCTGGTAACAGACTGGCGTACTTGACCCCCATAAACTCTTACCAACTGCCCTCGTGCGGTAGTGGTGCCAGTCAGGTGAGGGAAGTCAGAACTAAATCATGAGCGTAGCAGCCATCAATTTAGCCCTCATGGCTTACTAATGCTCTAATT